TTTCATTGCCAGACAGACTCCAGCTGCTCCCTCTGCACTTTGAGCTAATGGCTGCACAGTTCTCACAGTGCTGTTGCTCTTCCAAATGCGATTAGGCCAAAAAATAGTTCACAATATTTGGTGGCACATGCACCATGCTGCATGTTGACTTATCAATTATGAGTCAACAGGAAAAAAAAAACAAAAAAAAAAAGCAACGGCTAAAAAATAAATGTTCAATATGTCAAAACTTTCGTTGCCTTACATTTATTTTCCCCACTTTTCATTGGCCATTAAAAGAGCTTTGACGGGAACCGCATTCGACGAGGGGGTAGAGTAGCGAAAAGAGCAAAGAGCGGCAGAGAGAACATGATGGAAGTTGAGCATTTAAAATATGCATAATCACCTGTCCCCGCAGTGGGCAAAGAGCAAGTTGGTGGGAAATTTAATTTGTTGTAATTTGCTGCACTGTCCGAGAGAAAAAGGTGGAGGCGAACAGAGGCAAGGTGTGGCGAGGAGCTTTGAGGAGCACTGAGCAGACTGGCATCTTCATGAAAGATAAATTAAAATGCACTTAGCGAGCGGCAAAAAACGGTGAGAAAGTTACGAGCCAAGACCCGGTCCGGTCGGAAGTCCACACAAACTGATGTGCGGTCACAGCCAAGAAAGCGGTGGAGGGCCAAGGAGGGTGGCAAGGTGGAGAAGCTTCAAGTTGAGTGAGAGAGTTCTGCCAGTGGCAGAGTAGGTTACGTGGCAGCTTAAGCATTTTCAAGGCAACGAACCACTTGACATAATTCCTTATTGAGTTTATCAACACTTGATGTCGGCAAAAAGGTGGTTTTTTAACCACCAAAGGCACCCACGGTCCACGGCCAGATGAAATACATTCAGAAACAGGAGCAAGGAGCGGGAGCAGGAGCAGGAGCAGCTCCTCCTGCAACTCATTACGTGTGAGAAATGAACAAGCTGAGGCCAAGTGTTAAGTTCTCATTGTGCGAATTATTAATAATAATAATCATCCACAATAAACAATGAAACATTCCAAGCCAGGGACACAGAGAGACTCGCTGCTTATCTCTAGCTCGAAGACTTTACTTTATTCCCATTTAAATGTCCTGCCTTTGTGGCAGCTTGTTGTTGTTTGTGCTGCTGCTCAAATCTGATTCTGGGCAAAGGACTGCGATTGGGAGTTGGTTGTTGGGAGTGGGTGAGGTAAGCCAGTCATTGGCATTATTGTCGTCGTTCTGTTAGTTCTTCATGGTACAGTAAATAATGCTTTGGACTCGATTCTGGCTCTCCCTCTCCTCTGGCTGATAATCTTTGTTTATGCATGCAAATCGTGAGGGTTTTCCTCAATGGAGCTTGTTAGGGATATCCACATGGCCACATTACGTTTGATTCCTTGTATCTGCGTTTAGTTATGCTCGATGGAGATTATTCTTTGCATACATTCGGTTATTTTCCCCTAGCTTGTAATTGCTCGGAGAAAATTCAATTTTCACACAGACCACGAGTCTGTTCTCTGTGGCATTTAGACACTTCCGAAGTCCGTGGTCACGTAGGAGCGCAGCAGGAGCTGGCTTTTACATTTGTATTAATCAGTAGACTTGGCATTTACCACAACTGTTGTCTCACACAGGGAAAGAGGTTCATCTGCCAGCACCGAGAAATCATTTGCATGGCAGACAAATGTGTCCATGGCGTTCTGGAGGAGGTGTTGGCTCTTAATGCTCTCCATGTCCGCATGTCAATGGCAATGAAAGACCAGACCCGCAGCAGCATCTTTCAATTTTGCCTTTTACAATGTGATTTATATGCCAATGCTATGCTTTTTGTTCACCAATTTGTAGTTGTTTCAAGGCTTTGGTTGCTGGTTTTCTGTGTGTGTGGCTGGCTGCTTGTGTTTCAAGTATAAGGCTGCAAATTGTTGCTGCTGCTCGCTTGTTTTTTAGGTTTTTGTTTTGTTTTGTTTTGTTTTGTTTTGTTTGTCATGCATGCATGATGGCACGCTGGTATTTGTTCGCCCTGGCAGTGGCCCATCTCTGCAGCTCCTCCTCTTCCTGTGCATGCAAATGACTTGCCAGCTGACAACAGCAACAAGCAAAACTGCTGACCATGTTAGGGAGTGTATCTTTGCGCGTGTGTGTGTATATCGAGCCAAACCAGAAATTTGCACATAAAGTATCTCTGACAGCAAAGTTTTCACTTGTAAAACTTGCACACCACATGGAGGCATTCTCTCATTCGAATCACTTCCCCTCTGCCACTGCCACTGGTTCAAGTTGAACTAAATTTGACTCCGGCAATGAGTAAACCAACAAGAGAAAATGCAAAACTGCAATGACGCTCACGCATTGATACGGGCCTCTTCCCCTTCAATGCAACACTTTAAATGGAATTTTGTATTGTATTGTCTGTGCAGCACTTTAACCATGAATTTAATGACTTCTTCCCATCCTCCAACCCTGAGACTCTTTTTTGCTGACTCAACAGTTCAATTGAATTTGATGCTGGGGCAGCGAGTTTGCTGCTGGTTTTTGACTGTGAAATCTAGATTACAACTTTGGCAACAACTTGTGGCAAGCATAATTACAAGCTGCCAAATGACAACCATAACGTTAAGCCAACAACCAAGAGAATGACAGCGTGGCAGGACGGACTCAGTGACAGACTGACTGACTCACTTGACTGGCAATCTCCTGGCAACGTCTCGTCTCCGTCTTTGTTGTCCTCAAAATGAAGTCATAAATTTTAAAAGGAAAGAGAGATTAACAGAAGTGGTCTCCGGTCTCCGGTCTCGGTCTCGGTCTCGACTTGAATAGCTGCCACAGAATGTGTTTATTTATATTGCCTGAATTTAAAGCAATTATTGAGAGGCCTCTGGGGAAACTTTCTGCGAAACTATGGCAAAAGTTAATGCACTTGCAATGCTTTCAGGACCTTGGCGCAAAAGAATGAATGTGTTCTGCCCCCAATAGATGTCACGAGCATTTATTATTTACGCTTGTAAATAAATATATACGGCTCTGCTGGTGCTCATGGAGGGTCAGGTCACTTGCCCCAGAGAGTGGCACACACAGAGATTATGTACATTGCGTGGCAAAGCGAAATTTGTATTTATGTTGATGGCCAAGCCACCCCATGCCACCCGCTCTGACGCTTGGTTTGTCTTTCAATGCTCTTTCGACTTTCAACTACATTATGTGCCCCATTTAATGTCTATGTGTGCGTGTGTGAACGCCAAGTGGCAATTTACATTAGTTTTATTGTATATGAAAGGAGCTGTTTTTAGCATTGACAGCAGTCGCAGATGGAACAGCAGCAGCCGGCAAAACTTATGCCTTTCGCTTATACTCGGGTGTACATACATAATATGTACATTATATGTAAGTAATTATGTATAAATTCTTATGCACATATCTATGGCTGTTAGATTTGCTTCCTCATGTGGCAGCACTGCTGTCGCACTCGGCATATCAATATCACCTTGGCAACGTGGCCCTAAACCCAATGGGACACTTTCCCGCTAGACAAGAGCAAAAGCAAATCGATTTTGTTAATGAAACGGAGAGCAAGGATAACTTCAAGGAAATGTAGAAAATTCAGTGTGCAAGGGAAGTGCGAAAGAAACCAATGCCAATCTACATGATAATGGCATTCCTGAAGGTTTACTATGCACCATCCACAACCTCGTCCTCGAGTTCAATGGGGCAGCCTGTAAGCTGATGTGCCACGTGCCACTTCATACGAAACTAGTTACAATTCTTAATTTTTAACTTGAACTTGCATTTATTATAGATTTTTGTTTCCCTTTTCCTACACTCTAATCTAATCTGAGTTCGTTTTTTGGCATTCAAAGCTTGGACACAAAATACAGCAAAACAAACGGATAAATATTTCAACAATAAAGTGACACTGACTAAACCTAAACCTAATGTAAACACCCAAAAAACACCCAGAAAATACCTAACAATTTTGAATGCAAAGCGAAATCTTTAGCTACCTATAAACCTTACTTCCTACCACGATCTAGAAACCTATTGGACATGGCACTGGTCGACAGAGATAACCTCCTCGTCGACTATTTCGCCATTGCGATTCTCATGCTGCTCATAGTGGACGGGGCAGCTGAAGATTAGTTCGTTCTCCTTGCGGTTAGGTCCATCAGCTGGCTTGGTCTTGAGCTCGTCCATCAGGTAGAAGTTGTCCTGGCTATCTGTCTCGACCTGCGAAGGATCACCCCCAGCATGTTCGATAATTACGTGCTCGTTCTGCAGCGCCGTGTCCACGGCACCATTGAGGAACTGAAACAGTGGCGATACATTGCGGCTGTGGTGCTTCTCAATGGCTGGCTGCATCATGTGGAGTCCTGGGGTAAGAGCCGCTACAGACTGGCGCTGCTGATAGTACTCGGACGGGACGTTTTCTGGGGCGTGAAAGCGTTCAACTCTGGCCATATTCTGGTGCTCCATTTCCGTGTCATGGTCGAATTTCTGCAGCAAGCTCTCAGTCATCATTTTGAAGTATTGGCTTCGCACTTGCTCGAACTCTTTCATCTCCTTTTCATCCGGCCAAATGTTGTAGTTATCGAAAGGCGACCAGTTGCGCTGAGCCAATGCGGCTAGTGGCTCCTCGGTTACGGCTGAGTCAAGTACAGTTTCAGTGTCTGTTGTCGTGGTGACTGTAGGGGCTTCTATGACGCCACTTTTATCATTGTCCTGGGCATCCCCTTGGCGAGTGGAGGATGTGACCACAGCTGGAGGACTGACTGTGTTGGCAACTGTTGCCATAACTCTGGCAGTTTCGGCAGCTGCGCCACCACCGCCTGCTTGAGTTACCCCCATGGTAGCTTGACCCAAGCACGATTCTGCATTAGCAGAAGGGGCAGGGACATTCGAGCGCTTTATGCGCAGACCCTCGACCATACAAGGTTGCATTATCATCATCATCATCATTACGGCACCTAAGGCCAGCCACCATTAGATTTGCTTATAGAGAGAACAGAGAGTGTGGCTACTTACAGCAGAAGATCAGCAAGATCTTGAACGTAGACATTCTCATCGATTCGTTTGTTATTGATTGAAGGCAGAACTGCAAAAGAAAAGGTAACCAAAAGTTAGTAAATTGATTTCAACAATAAACTTTCTCCCTTAAAATAGTCAGCAAAACTTTCAATTACATTTTTAAATTGCTAAATTTTAGTTTCAGCTCGACTCACTTTTATTTATTCGACAGGGAACTGGGATATGCGCTCGGCACAAAGTTGGAACTGGGAATGATTCCGAACTATTTCCTGCCTCGTAGCAGCGTTTTTGACAGGCAGCTGGGGAACCGGCAAACGGTTACTGGGACCCAGAAAACGAAAAAAAAAAAAGAAAACGAAACCGATTTTCAAAATTTCTTTCTATTTTTTTCGCATTGCCAATGAAATGTTCGAGGGCGACCTTTTCAAGAGCTGCAAATGGCAGCAAACATACAAAAAATCAGCAACAAAAAAGTTTGGTTTTCGTGTGCCGCAAACATAAAGCAAACCGTGGAAAAAAGTTTAGCTTATAAATTTCCAATCAATTTTTCGTGCCAAGCGCAAACGCACACAAACGCAGCAAATGCGAGGCCAGGCCAGGACTCATACATCTGTGTGGTGCTGGGGTAGTCATGTGTGTGTTTGTGTGGCAGCCTCACTGTGTGAGTGTAGCTATTACTTGATTAATAAATATTAGCAGCTCATATCTCAAAATTGGAAAATTCTCAGTGAAGCGTAAAAAAACACAAACACAAAAACGGAAACGGAAACGGAAATGCGATACATTTGCGAAATGGCTGAAGCATTTTCCAAACACTCTCTCGCACCCCCATCCAATACTCTTTCTACTTTGCATACCCCACTAACCTTCGCATGCCTACAAGCTGCTGGCTGTTTCTGATAAGATTTGAACACCTTTTGCATGTGGAATTATCATTTACACTCCTTCAGAGACCCGCCAAGTAATGGGTATCCCAATAGTCTTTATTCCTGCCAATGACCCTGATATTTGTGCCTTTTTTTCCTTGTGCCTGTGACGCCTTCGGCTCGAGGCATTAATAATGTAAAGTGCGTGCGTCAAATGTAAATTCCTTGCTGCCAGCTCACGCGATTTCATAAACTTGCGACATTTTCAGCAAACAATTCCTTAGCCCCCATCCCCCTTCAATGTGTTTAGTGTGTGTGTTAGGGGGCAGGGGGCTGCCGCCATGCTCCAAGACGTCTTAAAGCTCAGGTGTATGCAGGGGCAGGGAGCGAGGGCACTTTTGCTTATCAGCTTAAATGTAAATGCCAAGCGATTGCAGTGGGGTTTTGCTTCGGGCGGAGGAAGGGTCAGCTGCAAGGGCAGGGGCACCAGTCTCTAACATGCTATGTGCTCTGCCCTGCTATCCGGCTGCTGATGTTGCAAGGGGGATTTGCACATTTCAACTCCATCTCGTTCCCCAGTCAGATTCTGTTTTTCGAGTGTATTGAATATAAGTCGATTTTCCCCTTACTGGATTTGCTGCTTCGACAAGGGGCTTAAATATTTAATATACGAATACGTACATCCCTTTTTGCATACGCCCAGAAGCTGTCTTTGTATGTGTCTGAGGCTTGGTCTTAGTCTGTGTCTGCCCCACGATTACTCGTTTTGGGAGGCAGTGCCTGCCAACGCCTCAACTCCTTCAGCTGCCTTTGATGTATGCCCAGACATGGGCTTGGATCTGATTCTCTGTCTTGTCTTATTAGGTCCAACCCATATCCACAGTGCAGCATGCATGCCGACCAGGCAGTGGGTTAAGTTTTGGGCTACTGGACTTTGATGTAACAGTCAAGACTAACCCACAATGTTTCGATTCGATTTCAGGGGAAGTCTAACAGGGGAAACGCCTTTCTTTGGAAACTTTCATTAGTTGCCTCGTTAATAAGTATTCCAATTCCAATTGTTGACACACAACAAGTGGCGGAGAGGCAGGGACAAGCTCCTGGGAGTCGTCGTCTCTGGCTTAACCTGCGTATAAAGGAATTTAATTAATAACGTCCTTCGTCCTTTCAGCGTGTGCAGCGCGCCGGAAACTTAATTAAATGCGCAAGTGGCAAGTGGAAAGTGGCAAATGACAAGTGGTGCGCTGCAGGAGGAGCAAAACAAGTCAGACTTGTCAGAGGCTGTGTGGCAACATCAGGTGATTCAGCATCCAATACGAGTACTTATACGAATACGCAGCCCCCTCCCTCCGGATAGTTGTAAAAAAGTACCAAAACTGTTGGCCTGCTGCTGCTGCTGTTTCGCGTTTTACGGCTCCTGTTAATAGTGAAAAATGTGGCAAACAAAAGAGAAAAATGATTGCCGACGCTTAGACAAAACCAGATGGCAATTCAGGAGTGGGGGCCAGGCTGCCACACTGCGCCTGTGGCGGCCATAAAACAACGAGTTGTGGTTCAGCGACTTTAACGGGTTGCCATCTTTACGAGTGTAGTGGTTTATAACCTGTAACTGGGGGCAAAGTTTATTAAGTTTATGCAAAGTGCATCAAATATGCGAAAATAGCAAAAGGTCGGACCGGGGCGGGCGGCTGGCTGCTAGCGGCTGTCGCGTGGATCATGTCTTTAAACATAATCATTGACAAGTAGGCAACCAGCTGTAAGCTGACAATTTTTGTGAGTTCTATGCGTTTGTTAGAGAATAAAGCAGTAGTTTTCATTTTTCATCCAAAGTTGTGGCTACAGCTACGGCTACAGCAGAGGAAAAAGTTATCAGCTTTTGGTTTCGAGCTCATACCTTTGCCGATGGTCCTCAAGTTGCAAATAAGATTTCAAATCCATTTGTGCATTCATTCTCCCTTCTATATCGGTCAGCTTCCATGCCGCTAAACTTCCCCTGAATGCTTCTTTTATGTTGAATTCTTCTCCACATACTTGTGTGTTTGTACGTTGCCGTACTTACTCTTTTGCAGTCAAACAAAGGCACTAAATCCGACATACATTTCGGACAGTTTTCTCGCCCCATTCCCCATGTTTGACACACGACTATCGAAAAGAGTGACGCCCCCCGTTTGTGTCCATGCTGGAATTTTAAATCAATTTCAGTCGAACGCCTTTTGCCTGCCATTGATTTATGGCCACGTCAAAAGGAAACATATACTCGGAACTGAAAATGAGAGCAGCAGCAGCAGCAGCAGCAGCAGCAGCAGAACAAGCACAACTTTTGCCGAATTATATTTCAATTCGGAAGTGAAAATGAACAGAGCCATACACAGTTCTGGTTACACGGCCGAGTGGGGGGAGTTGGGCCAAAAAGATGTTAAAAACTTTTTGACAATTGACTTAAGAACTTTTCTTTAAGTTGCCAGACATTGACTGCCTTTTGTATACAAATAGGCCGAAATACACACACACACACACACGCACACACACACACATGACTGCGGCGGGGGTGTTGGATATGGCAAATGGTGCCGCGCGCTGCCATGAAGCGGAAGTAAACACATAAAACGGAAATGAAAATTCAATTATTTCGTTACGATTGCTCAACTTTTTTGCTGTTGTTGTTTTTGGCAGTGTGTGGGTGGGACAGCAAAAGTTTAAAATTAAGTTAACGTGCAACCCGCTTCGTGGGTCAGCGGAGCATGCAACTTTGGCTCGGTTTGGCCAAATTCAATTTGAGATTTTTCTCCCGTTTTACTTTTTGTCTGACATATGGCGCAGCTGTGGCATATTTAAATGCGATTTCGCACAGTCGCTTTACGCACAATTAGCCCAAAATGCAGCTTGTCCAACCGATACGCCCCGGGGGCCTGTGCCTCTGCTGGTCCACTGCACCGAGCACTCTCTGCCACAGTGAAGCAAATGATGGAGAGCAAAGTGGTTGCCTTCTATGGCCTGATGGTTGATACTCACCCATCGCCAGTTGGCAGCCAATGCAGCTGTTCGAGATGCGCTGGATGCTGTCGGTACACTCGCTCTCCGTGCTGGACGCGTGCCACCAGTGGGTGGCTCTTCGGGACTTTGCCAGCTGCTCAGCTTTCCTTGCAACCAGTTTGGCCAGCGGATGCCCGAGTCGGACGTGAATGGACCCGAGGCCGCACCGCTGTACAAATTGCGGCGAGATCGAGCGGAATTTTGTCAAGCTTCTACAGAGGAGCCATCTGTTCTGGGCAGTGACATTGAGCTGCTGCTCGGTAAAGGGTCCCAATATATTTCACTGAGAACTGACACTGTCCGTTAACCGTGCGTTATCAATGGGGATTACTGCTGCTGCTGCTGCTGTTACTCTCACATCATCCTGATGGTGTCGCTGTCGCTGATGTGCACTGCACATGCCAAGCGATATTTTTTGAGTGTGTTTTTTTGTGTGACGTACTCCCCACCATCCACCCATCCCACCTGGCCTTGCATGTCACCATTCCGTTTTGACTTCTGTCAGCTACGAATGCCCGGGAATGGCAGGCAGGCAAGGGAGTCGTGGCGCTGGCAGTGGCAGTGGCGGTGTCAGTGCGTGTGGGATGACCTTTTGCTTTGCTGCGCTTGTCACTTCGCTTTATCAAATTGCAACTGCACGTTGCACGTTGCACGTTGAGCAATCCCCGTGCACTCCGCGGGTACACCAGCGAAGGGACACTTTAACCTCATGAAAGCCAATCGAAGGTCGACACTTTTTCGCCAATATTTTTCACTACGAGTGTCTGAAAAGCATTGAAAACCCATTAGACAGCTTAAGAACGCTTGCGGCAGGTGCACTGTCTGTGTGGTTTCAGTATCGAGGCGAAGAAAAGTCTCAAAGATTGCAAGGAATTCTGCATTAAAAACATCATTCAAAAATGTATGCATGCCAACAATCTTCGCAGAGGAATGCAACGTCTCCAGACATCGAGTGGAATTTTGCTTGCTCCGCAACGATTTATGTTTCCGGTTTGCCACATTTTTGTTCCCCCGCCACCCCACTGTGCTGCAGCATAAAAACGTGCCTCTGCCCTGCAGCACACTTGCCACATGCTTATGCCTCTGTGTGCCTGAATAAGCGGGCTTGTGGCATGTCCGTGTCCGCCTGTATGTGTGCGCAGCGTTGACAGTAACCGAAATTGCCACAATTTGCGGCTGTGTACAATTTGGCCACGCATCAATCTGTGCGCATGTTAACCAAAAAACCATTACAAACAAGGCAGACAATATCATGATGTGGGCAGAGAGCAGAGAGCATTTCCGTTTCCGCTAACGCATATATTTCCCAGTGCATGAGTGACAAAGGGGGCGTAGTTTTTTCCCCGCGTTGGAGTATCAGCTGTGGCAATTTTATTTGATGAGCGCATTACTTTGGCATTTTATACTCCCCCTAATAACCCGCCTCCTCCCCAGAGCACACACCAATTTAATTTTTTAACATAAGTGTGCCAGAGTCTCGTCGTTGCTTCCCTTCGAAAGTTTACAGCGGGGAAAAAAAAGTTGGTTTGGCATTTGTTCGGTTGCCTGAGTTGAAACTTAATTAACATTTGATTGATAAAGGTTATGCGCACACACACACACACACTTAGTATCTATATACATGTGTGTGTGTGTGTGTGTGTGTGTGTATGCGTGAGACTGCTCTGTCTGCATGCAAATGGGAAATGTTCAATGCCAGCGGCGCATTCGGCAGTGATTATTTATGCGTGTGTTTGTGTGTGTGTTCGTGCTCGAAATTTTAATTAGTATTATAAATTATTGCCAACGGTGTAGTAATTAAATCTGTGTGTATGTGTGTGCGTATGCTTTTGGGTAGCAACGAAGATAAAGGAGCAATTTTAGCCAATTAAACCTGCCTGACAGATACGTTCCCTTCCCTTCCTCCCCCTAATCCCAGTCTTCAGCCCCTCTATCATGGTCTGATCCTCCACTGTGTAAATATTTCGTTTAAATTTGCATACAAAAAAAAAAGCACACATACATTTAGTGGCGTTTGGCTTTGATTTGCCATTGATTTGATTTGGCGCTGTCCTTGGCTCAGCTGTGGCTAAGCAGCTTGGCTCCCTCTTGCCTCTTGCCTCTGTTCCTATCCCCTATCCATTCTTCCATTTCGTGTTGCCTGCATATGTATCTCTCTCTCTCTCTCTCTCCGCTTCTGTGTGGGTGTTGAAAATTGCATTTTTCTTATCAATTTTGCTAGCCATTCAAATAGTAAATGCCAGATGGCAGAAAGCGTGCAGGAAGGATCTTACACAAAGGGCACACACACACACACACACACACACCGAAACTGAATTCAATTTGTACTCGTATGCGTGTGTCTGTGTGTGTGTTGCTGCATTCAAAGTGCTGCAAAATGAACAAACAAAATCTGAAAGCAAGAAAGACGCTTAAGCCACTGCCACTGTCATCTGGATCTGGTCTAAGCAAACTCAAAACAGCGAACTCAAAGCTCCATTTCAATCATCATTTCACTCACTCTATCATATTAAAAATGTATTGATATTCACCCTAAAGACCCATAAAATACTTCAACACATTTGCCCTGCCGGTGGATCGACTGAAAGACAAGTAAAAGCAAGAGAAGAAAATCGAAACCATAAAAGAAAATTCAATAAATTGCTTGGCTCGACATAAAATAATGCTACATTATAGACTTTGGCCTGCCAGCGGGCCAAAGTAACCGCCAAATGTTGCCCAGGAGAGCAACCAGCAGCAGCAAACCCGAGAAGAACAAGCAAACATACGCACAAGTAAGTACTAGTAAATGTAGCTGAATGTCCTTGCAAAGGATACATTGGCTGTGTGAAGCGAAAGAGCACATCAGAGCAGTAAATTCAATGTAGAATATTGGACACCCTGTTGCAGCAGCAGATGAAGCAAGATTTTTTGAAAGTGTATCCCATAGCCATAGAATTTGTTCTTTATCTCTCTCTGCTGAGGGTAATTCAAATTGTCGCCGACAAAACAATGACAATGCCGAAGTCTGGGACAACTGCCGACTGCCGACTGCGGCACGGACTCCTTTACGAATCGATTTCTATTTATGTTTTATGAGACGTAAAATGATTGAGCCCAACGGAAGGCGGCAATCCAAAAAATGCCAAATAAAAGCGACTTGAGCGGGGAGTGGGCCCGAGACAGCTGCAAAAGTTTATCGCCAAGGCAGACCGCATTAAATGCGGGACACACGCACACATTTTGGGGACACACTCAGATAAAGGCGTATCCGTGGTCGTGGTTGGTCGTGGCCCCTGCAAATGTTGGGTAGGATATGTCCGATATCAGTTGATGGAGGGGGACTGGGTAGGAAAAGCGTGTAAATTACATCCTCAATTTTTTGTTGTGTGTGTGTGTTTCCATTGTGTTTGGCGGGGAGGTCGGTCTCTCTGCCACTTCTTGTGTTTATATCTTGAAAAGTTTTTGGCGTGTGTTGTTGTCACAACGGCCAGACATCATCTCGGCCTGATGTGGTGTTAAGGATTCATTCTTCGTGTTTGTTGCACTTCAAATGATGAACTGACATCTATTTCCCTCTTGCCCTCTTTCCCTCTCTGTGTGCGGATGTGCGTGGGGCACGGCTTTAAGTTGGCACGTTTTGGGCTTTCATTTTGCCATTCTTATGATTTAGACTGGAGTGGCATTAAGCATCGAAATCGTAATTGAAAATTCCGTTCCACTAATTAATCTTAATTAGTTAGTTCTGCCATGTCCATGTCCTGTCCACATTCATCGATCAAACAATTTGCCTCCGCCCACACACACATCCCGACTTGGGTTATTGTAACGCTAATGACTAAATAATTGATCGAAAAGTAATCCCGTAGCTGAGGCGCTCAGGAGCAGCACGAGGCAGCGGCCCTACACGTTGCAGCATTTCAATTTTGCTAGACCAAAAATGCCCCTAAGCGGCTTATGGCTCTGTGGCCCTCCAATTCCTGCGCGTGTGCGTGTGCGTGTGCGGCTAAGTGAATAAAAATCTTTTTGCACAATTCATTAAACGCAAATGATGCCCCAGAGATGGCCAAAAGGGAATGATGGTTGCATTGTTATTGCCTTTGCTTTGCCAGCCAAAAAGGTTTCGCATACCCACGCATATCCCTTCGTTTGGTTCGGTCAAAGAGACAATGAACCCCAAAGGCAGAGAGCGAAGACTGAATCAAGGTAATGGAGTGCCTGCCTCCAGCAGGCAACACCTCACAAAACTTATACTCGTGCGCGCACAGGAAATGGTTGCGGTATAGATAAATGTTGGTTGACAGCGCGATTTATTGTCACACTTACCGCAGCGACCATTGTTATGCAGAGCAGCTGGTGGAGGAGAGACAACTTTTTCGCATTGCGTATACGCAACAATCGAAACGCATTTGCATTGACGTCACGTTGCAAGCAGCTGCGGATGTGTGCGCGGTGGGCAACTAAAGCCACAGCAGCGGGAGAGTTTGTTCCGAACTGGCAAGGACATGCAGCTGCTTCCACCTTGATTTCTTCACTCATTCTGTGTGTGTGTGTCTATTGTGGTGTGGGAGAATGTTTGCTGAATCGTTTTATTGGCCAGTAGCTGTGGAATATTTATAAGCTGCTTGCTGGCAGTCATAACCGAAAGAGAGAGAGAGACTGAGAGAGAGAGGGACACAATTAGGCTAGCAATCTGCCACGCGGACAGCTTCTACTTGTCGTTCTCTCTGTAACTATTTTTCAACAGGTAAAGCCAGGCAGCCCCTAAGCCAGGCTTCTCTCCCCACTGCTTTCCCGTTTGTGTGAGTGTTTTGGCTTCGCATGTCAAAGTCCAACGGCTGGAGCCGAAGATAAAGATTAAATTGAAATTCCAATCGGGTTCCAAGCACTCGCCATTCACTCTGGATGTGGCTGCTCCATTGGCTTTTTTGTGTTGCTGTTGTTGTTTATTGAAACAACGAAGCAACAATAAATTTTGCAACGCATACTTCAAATGTCAAATGCGGCAGCGATAAAAATTTCTTTATTGTACAAAACACACACAAGCGGAGCCAGCAGGCATGGCCAAGAACAGGAATTGCATTCCCTTTTGGCCAGACCCAGACCCAGACCCAGACCCAGTCCGGACTCCAACTCGGACGTGAACTTTTGCTGCTTGGATTTGACAGTTTTTGCAATTTATATTTATTTCAAGGGCCGCACAAAACATACCGCATACGCATAAGTAATAGTACATACCCTACGCTCGGCCTGGGGTCTGCATAAATTAAGATAATCGCGTTTAGTTCGCTTCTGGCTGTGCCCTGTTCTGCTGTCAGATACTTGGCTGCATAATTTATGGCCACCGGGAAAGCCTTTCAACTACATAACTCGAAAAGCTTTAAGTCCGTTTAATTGAAGCTCCAGCCAGCCAACAGTCAACTAACTATCCAGCAGCGTTGCTGTCACATCAAAGTCGCCTGCTATCAATGAGAGTGTTGTGTTAATGGCCAGGCGCCCCGTGGCCAGCGAACGGCTGGTCCTTAACCGGTGACCGGAAACGATATCTAGAATGCCGCCATTAATGTTCTGATGAGCTGCAGACACAATGCGATCATTTGACGAAACTTTGGACACTTATTAGCCCCCACAAGAGCCAAGATTATTTGCATAAGTATGTGGCAGAGGCCAGTCGAGGCCAGAGAGTCCATTGGGGCACGTGCGTCTCATATTAAGGCGCACAGACATTGTACACTCCCGCCCTTAGACCTTAGCCAAAACACTTCTGGCCTTGTTGGTCAGTCTGGCTTGGTCTGGTTATTATTTTAATGGCCATTCAAAGCTGCTGCGGACTGTGGCTGTGCCCGTGTATTGCTGTTGTTATTGGCAATGACCAGGCCATGATTTTAATGCCAATTTAATATAATTTTTATGCCTAGACATTGGTCCGGCTCTAAATACGTGCCAAAGCGAGCCAAATCGAATTGAATCGCATCGAAATTGCTGCAATGATTTGACATATTTGACTCGTAAGCCCAACGAAAATGAAAATGCTTTCACATTCCTTCCCCGTGCCCTCCCTTAGCCATTACACGGAAATCGATTGATGCATAGAAATTTCGGAAGAGAGTAGAGAAAAGGCAGACAGACACTGCTTACTTTTTATTTGTAATTAATTCAGAAATTCCTGTTAAGCAGCAAGGAGCTACATATATATGTGTGTCCCTTTTTGTGCCCGTTTTTGGTAAACCTAATTAAATGCAGCAGAAAACAGTGGTAACATTGGACTACCCCGAGAGAAGCCGAATGCAAATTGACAAACTTTTCCAGAAACTTTACAAGTGGCAACGAACGGACCGTGGCACACCGGCAGGGGCGGCAGGAGCGGCAGCGGAGAGGAAATATGTGAAAAGCGACATTTTTTAATTAAAATTATTTCACATAAGGGAGATGTGCTGCTGCTGCTGCTGCTGCTGCTACTGCTGTAAGCTCTTACTGTAATTAGTGGAGCTTCTATTCAGCAAACGAGGATCCGACTCCATCATAGGTTCGAGCAGTGGAACCAGAAACTTTTCCACTTAGGCTGTAAGTATCTGCTCGTCTTTGCCATCCACCAGTCGCTCATAGCCATTGTACACCACGCACATCATGCCAGACATCAAAGCTGCAATGTACACACAATCTCACATATGTACAAATGTGGCTCTGACTCTGACTCACCTACGGCAGCCAATGAAGAGGCCGTAACTATGATCGATGTTAGCACATCGAATCCGTAGAACATCCAGAAAGCCTCAAACATGTTGTAGAGAATGCCGGTGACAAACATCAGCGAACAGATCAACCAGACCATCATGATCTTTGACTTGTTCAGCTCCCGCTTTTTCACTAGTCCAAAGATGAGCAATGCCGAGGCCGTCAGCTCCAGTGCTCGCACAATGCCGAGTAATTTGGTCTGAACTGAAATGGGGAAGGTTCTACGAACGGTAAATGGGTAGCGTCAGAGATTACGTTTGTCAACACCTACGGGAATAGGGAATTGCCATTGTCGCCGAGGACACAATTACCCCCATCAGACCGATGGTAAATTGTAAAAGACGCGAATTGAATATGGCTCTCATTTCAATTGCGGGTAGCGATCGCCTCGAAAGTTCACTATGGACTGACTCTTGCCGGCGGTTATTTGTGTCCTAATCTAATCAGTTTACCAGATAAGCGTCAATGTTGTACACTCCAAGAAATATTTACTGATACGTTCAAAAATACACTTCAATTTCAATAAATTTACATTAAAGCTTAGAAACATTTATTAATAGCAACATGTATGCTTGGCAACATTTGATCGTAACATTTGTTTTGAGCAACATTTGATGCGCTTAGCAACATTTATGTTTATTATTCGAATTTGTGTTTAGGTGTAGGTGTACTTGAGTAAGTACACACATTTTTATCTGTGATCCGATAAGGTCGTGGACGCACTCATTGTTAGTCAGTCCAAAAGCTTTTATAATCGAACATGAACTGCCGAATCAATATTCATACTGTAGATTGGTCTATTGAAAAGAACGAGAAGAACGGAAAATGTCTTGGTGAAAAATAATCATAGTTTGATCCCAGACTGAGACATTGCCACTCTAAGCTACCCAGACTGTCAACTTCTCTTTAGTTCATATCTAAGTAAAAGGTATAAGCAAAACTAAAAGAAACAAAGGGGAAACCCAATAATAAAACCTGTGCACTCTCAATCGGTTGGGGCAACATTAAATAACTTATACAAAAGGCTCTGGCAACCTCAAGCCACTGGCAACTTGCCTCATATGTCAATTCATTTGACACCAATTGGGTGGGTGGGTGTGAGATGCCGGCTACAAAAACCTATGAAAAGTTCATCAAACAAAATGAATGCATAACTAATTGAGTCACACACTCACTAACTGTGCCCTGCCCTGTGCATTCATGTTTATCTGATGGATGAACTTTTCGACACTTTGTGCATTAGAAACTTTTACCAGTTCGCACTTTAGTGGCATTCATTTTGGAAATGTACCTTAACCAGTTCGGGCACTAAGTACATAAGTTTCTGGGCTACAAGTCCAGGACCAATAAAGGTGCTGCTTGCGGATGGATATTCTTGGTTTAAAAGTTTTGCCAACTTGGGGTTTTAATTAAAATTTGTTTCCAGCCGCAGCTGGACGGGCGGCCAGACAGACACCAGAAATGCATCAAATAATTCATAATAAATAAGAAATTTATTTCGAGCATTGAGTGGATAATTTATGAATGTTTTTGTAATTAACAGCTGTGTGAAATTTATCATAAAATTCCCATCTAATTGCATTTTTATGGCATCAAGTTGTTCCTTATACACATTGCCTTCATAAATAAGCGAAACACTTGACAGGTGGCTGAGTAATTTGGTAACTTTCGCTCTTGCCATCTTCCCCATTTGGCAGGGCATTTCCCCGTCGTTATGGGGAGCACCTCTGCTGATTCGCTTTTGAGTATTTTCCGTACCCACCACCGAGGGAATAGCTCTCCAGCTTGTTCTTCATATTTTGTTGAAACTTTCAGTGCATTCTGCTGCTTGCCCTATGGCTGATTGTGTATTAATTTGGCAGTTTATTAGGCGTGAATATGAAAATAGCACACAACTTTGACCATTACAAAGAGCGGAGAGAGAGAGAGACACAGAGAGACAAATACATGCTGCATGATTCAAGGGCCGCAAAGTTCTGGCCACGCCCACATACATATACAGAGGCATAATTTAAGCAAACAAAGAGCCTCGCAGTCAGTCAGCGGCAGAGTGTGAGTGGTGTTGAAATGTAGCTCATTTATTTCATTTAAATGTGCATTTAAATCTATTTAAAACTCCACATGAGCCATTCCTAAAGCCGCACAACAGACACCAGACACCAGACCAGGGACACACAGGCCCGGAGAGGAATCGGAAGTGGAAGTGGAAATGGAAATGGAAACGAAGCGAGAGGCAAAAATAAAGGGCAAATAAAAGGCACGGCACGGGACACAGGACACAGGACACATGACATGAGTTCTCTCTCTCTCTCCCTCAGCTATGTGTACCTCTCCCGACTGGCATCTCTGTCTCTCAGCATGATTTAACGATAATGAAGGTATTTACGAGTTTAGTCCGGGCCTGGCTCTGGCTCTGGCTCAGGGTCCCAGTTTCGTTCTCAAGCTCGTGCTGGGATCGGAGGCCGGGCTCCTGGGCAAAAAGTAAAAGAAAAACTCATCATAATGCCGTCAAAAGGTTATCCAAAACACACACACACACACACACACAGTGGGGACTTGTATCTATGTATCTGCGTGTGTGTCCCTGCACTTGTAGGTTGATTCTGCCAAACTTTTTTCTCTTTCTGTTGACTTGCTGTTGATAAGGACAACAACGGCAATGACAGCGACAACTACCGAAAGGTGCTGCCAGCCAGCTGAGCCAGCCTCTGCTTCAGGGCTGCAGATTTGTATAAACGAGTAGATGTAGATACATCTATGGGTTGGGTGTACAGGTTGGATATGTGTAGCCAGGGGGTAAACCCTTGACTTTTCTGCTATCCGCACGACGCACATTGCATGCTAATAAAACTCAGTCTGCCATAAAATTGTTTCACAGTCAACATAATTACAATAGCAGCAGCAGCAGCAGGATCGCAGTGGCAGCAGCACCTCCACAATAGCAGCAGCAGCAGCAGCAGCAGCAGCAGCAGCAGCATAATGAGCTACGGCCAGAGGATAAATTTGATTTTCCAATTTACGATTAACAGGAAAACAATTTTTAGTGCCTTTGGGGGGTGGGTGGGTGTTTCATTGCTTTCGAAGTGTACACAAAAATATGAATGCCTAAGCGGGAAAATGTAATTTCATTTCCATGGCAAACACCTTTCCTTTATGGCCTGCTGCCCCAGTCTGACTTCCACTCACTTGCATGCATATTTTATGATGCCCGCTCCCAGCGGAGTTCCACTTGCCACAACGTGGATTTTATTGTTCGACTCAGGGGCCAGGGTCCTGCCTGTGCAAAACGGCTGCTGCTGCTGCTGCTGCTTTTCGTTCGTGCATTGCCAGATGGTAAGTGGTGAGGTAAGAGAGAACAAAGACAAGTTAACCTGTCGAAATAGGATTACAAGCCAGCCGCTTTCATTGCCACTCCTCCTCGTCCTCGTCCTCGTCCTCGTCGCAGCAGGAACTTTCGCATTCAGAAAGTGAAGTGGCAAGACTGAGGAGCAGTTAATTGCAAGACCTTGAGCTGCACTTGCGATCGAAGGTCGCTCCTGGACCGAGAGAAAGGCGACAAAATGAAAGAGAAGCCTCATCAGCCTTCAAAAGAGATAATGCAGGCCGGCCCGCTGGCTGTTGGCTGTTGGCCAAAATGCATTTGGGCCAGGAAATCGCCTGCCGATTGTCGCTTGCATTAATCAACATAAAGCAGTCCCTTTGTGGCATGGAACTGTAACTGGGAACCTGCATGTGCCTGGGAATACCTTCCGGCCTGCCGGTTGTTCCTTTCCACTTTTAACTATAATTATTAACGGATTGTTTCTGCTTCTCTGACTTTGTCTCGCTGTCTCTCCCTTTTGTGGTGCGTCTGGCGTCTGTTTGTTCTTTGTGGAAAATCACCTGAGTAATGCACTTGATGCCTGTGCAATTTCCTGCTCCTTCATCTGCGCCACCGGAACTGGTCCCAGCATTGTCCTTACGTGTTCTTATTGTACAGCATCCCTCTGTAGTTTTGCTGCAACTATTCGAGAGCACAGCCCAGCCGCTGTGCTTCTCTTTCTCTGTTTCGCCAAAGGCAACTTTTAACATTTAATGATGCTGCTTTGTGTTTTAATACGCTTTGCTTGCTTGCCAAGCTCATGGCTAGCACAAGGCGGCCCCCATCTCCCATTCTCCTTCTCTTCTCTTCTATCTCTTCCAGCCACTCCGCGCTGCTCTTCAGCCCGCACGTGCCATAAGCAGCGCTTTGAAAACTTTTAAGTAGACAAGCAATGTGCCCATTCCCCACCCCGCACTACACCACACCACCAACAGCCCATCACAACCAGTGTCCTGTCCTCATGCTGGCTGGGAGGACATCTTCTATTACTTCTCCTGCCTTTTTTTTCACTTTAAGTTGTCTACTCAGTTCCAATTTTTCCTGCCGTCTGCTGCTTGCCAAGGTGTTTGAAGCAATTTGTGTCGCCCATTCTTGGGTTTCTCTCTCTCTCCTCTCTCCTCTCTCCGATCTCCATCTCTCGTTCTCTTTTTGTGTTGTCAGTGTTGTTCGTGTTCCTGTGCCCGCTTCCCTGCGGGTCACCCATGTCCTTGACAACAACTCGGCACAGTTTTGACTCTCTTTCTTTTGTCGCCCCTTTTGTCGCTTTCTCGTGGCATGCGGTGTACAGATTGTGCCAATCTAACCTGTTGCCTAGGCAGGCCTCTTCTAACAATCCATTCATACAGCCATACAGCCATACAGCCATACCGCCTTCGACTTGCTCATTTCCAGAGTGGCAAAGTTTCTGTCGCCTTCGGCTTGGAGTGGAGTTCAGAAGAAGAGTGAGTCCGGCCCTTAGCTATCAGGCGGAAATGAGTTGCATGTGCGGGGCTGGCCTGGGCCTGCTCTCAATGCTGAATGCTCGAGTTCCAATTTAAGTTGGATTTCCAATCGCATACGAAAAACGCAACACGAAACAGAATCAAATGAAACGCAAAGTTTCGCTGCCACTTTCAAAATCACAAAGTGCAATTCGAAGAATTGCTCAACAATTTACTAAATTAAGTTCCAGCAAAAAGTTGCAAAGCCTTTTTCCACACGGAGTTGGCTTTCCGATGGCTGGCAAAATGGCAACTTGACAGGGTTTGGGCTGACTGCAACTTTCGAGGGAGAGCAAAAGCGAGGAAAAGTTGCAAAATCCCGCTCATTTCCGTCAGCAGTTGGCGGGGGTGTGGCCGGGTTGTGTGCCTTCTGACCTGTTTCTACTGATTGCCACTTGGCTGCTTGGGTCAATCAGCATCTGCAACACACAAATGAGAAAAGATACCAAGAAAGAGAGCGTGCGAAAGGGGGGGAACGAGCTCTCGTTCACAAATGCAAATGGCACTGCAGGGGACACATACTCGTAGTCATTACAAATTAATTTCACACGTG